AACCACTAACTGCAGAAAGAGAGAGAAAACAATTTCTTTCTTAGCACATTAGAAATTCGAGAGGATTTAATTCAGTTCCCTGCAGTATCAATGGCTCCCTGTATAACATTTCAATCCTCATTTCCCATATGGAGCTTCACCACTTAGACAAGCGTAAATTTTATTCTTTGACTCCGAATCCTAGATTTTAGATCTGACACTGATGCACAGCTCATATCATTCTGATTAGTTATCACATATAAAATTCAGGTGAAAATGAAGACATTGAAATATAGGCATCTGAACTCCCACTAGAAGCAAAAAATTCAAGATCCAGAAATAAAAAGACTGACTCAGCTTGTTCTGAAATGCTAATCTACTGATTGGTCCTTCTTGGCTCTCCGAACTCCACCAACTGCACCAGCATTGTCCTCAGCTAAGGACAATGGAGAACTCAATTTTCTAGCCACTGCAGCCTTGCGCTGTATCCTTTCCTCAGATTCACTTACAGTCGTGACCATGCTGATGCTGTGACAACATGAAGCCACACATCACATCAGGCCTGTAAACATACCACAACTTTGAGCTAGCCATGTTTTCACAGAAAGCTTAACCAACTTGATCAACTTCTCCCAGCAAACTTGCAACACACTAATACTCCCTGACAGTTAGGACTCTGCCATGGAAATACTGCCTCTGGCACCCTGGTGCTGTTGAACACAGGAAAATCTGTTTTACTGCAGCTGAATAAGTGAAGATGCTGTGATACATTAAATCTGGACTAAGTTTATACAGACAGATTAAGATCTTTATTTACGAGGTATCAATTGTTATCAGATGAGCTAATCTGAAGGTTTGTCTTCTACTTGGAAAAAGAATAATCTTCTCCAGAAAAAAAATGAGCATAACACCGTTCAGATTCAATGTACTGCAAAATCTTCAGTTTCTAAAGGACTCTTTTAGTCCTTTTCAAAAATCATTACAGATTTTCTTATATATTCTACAACAACAGCACATCAGAGATGGTATTTTTATGGAGAAGTTCTAACACTAGCTGTCTAATCTGGAATATGAGCCTAAGTATGCACAGCTGCTTAAGACACAAGTTTTACATGAATGGTCTCTCAAAAGTACTCCTGCATTGCAATGAAAATTCAGCTGAGTTTTAACCTTCCCATACCTGTTATCTTAAAAATGCTAGAATTTCTGAGGCAACACAAGTTCATAGTATTCTTATTAGATATTACTAGACTTTGTGAAGTATTTTTCCATCAGAATAAGAAGAGTAACAGAAAACACTTTTACATTAAACTATCTTTGCATCAGGTATGATGGTTTACATGAACATCCCACAGATTACCCAGAAGAACTTGGTTGGTTTTGCAATGGTTTGCCCCACATCCCTGTGGTAACATTGTTTTAACACAAGATTACATGGCACATAGCTATGAATCCAAAAATCCCGATGGTGCATTTAGAATGAACTGCACTAACTAGTACAAAATGCTGCTGTAGGTGTTTGGTACTGGCACAAATGCTGTGCCAGGATACCACATCTCATTTACTGTTTGCCACAGTTTATAAAGAGGTGGCTGCTTCCTTCCATGAAATAGCTAACAGCAACAGAATTAGTCAAATATTTAGAAAGTAACTCAGTGTGAAACGCTGCCTCTAAAGGCAAGCAAATTTTTTTGGACAGTGTCTTTACTCCTTTATAGAGCTCTTTGCTTTGTCAATATGCAGAACAAAATAAGTCTGTCAGGAAACTGCATTTGTTATCAGCTCATTCTCCATAGATGGCAGTACTGTAAATATTTTTTTTCATTATCACCCTGTCAGTAAATACCTTTGAAGGTGTGATTTAATCAGGAGGAATGCCAATATTTCACAACTTTGGGCCCACCTTAAAGCAAATTAGTAATAGAGAAACCTATGCACCAGGAGACAAATGAGCAGAAGTAGTGGACTAAGGTCTATCAAATAGGGTTCAAGATCACTTTGATTGAATGACAGTTGATATATTTGCAGTACAGTTCATCTGTTTTCTTATCTGGTAAAGCATTCTATAACGAATCAAAATTTATTGCATGTTTTGCAACCTTGTCAAAAGGCACGCCTAAGATTTTTGCCTCAGAAATAAATTCCACCCAACTGCGTACATGAATTCACTTGACAATTTGGACATAGCTAAAATATTTTTGTATTTTCTAATGCCAGCACTTTTGATCTAGCACCAGCAACTCATCTGGTCTGCACACCACCACATTTACTTTCTACTAAATTCAATTATGTTTAAAAACTAACAGGAGATTTCAAAGTAATTCTCTAATGACAACTACCCATGAGCAAAAAACCCCAAGGCTTTTGGCCAAGAACCCCTGTTCTTAACACATAACTGCTTCTCATCTCCCTTTTCACTTGCTTTTTTCCCTTTTGTCTTTTTCCCTGTTTATCTCTGAACAGGAATAAAGCAACAGAATGTCGTGATCAGTAATATTTTTTGGTGTACACAAGTAAGTTGCTCATGAGGCCGGTCATATGTTTCTGCATATTGCCAGTAAAAAAAAGACAGCAGAAACAAAACTTTAGAACAGCCCCAAGCTCTTCACATTACTATAAACAGCATCCAATTGGCAAACTCCAAGTAAATATTAATGAAGCTGAATGGTTACAGCCAAAGTGATTCAAATTTTTCTGAGAGGTTTTTTTTTTTTACTTATTAGCAATTAATCAAAAATAGTTGAGAATAACCAAATCATTACAGCTTGAAGTTCAGTGTTATAAGACTCACCATTTGTATGCAGGATCACATGTTAAAATTGCATCTAAGTATGCAGTAAGTGAAGGGCTTTCTAGGATAAGTGGTGGCATGCCTGTTTTCCTTTCTACGGGCATTGTTCAGGGTGAAAAAACATTACTTTTATCATATAAGCAGAAAGTTTCAAAAAATAATGGCTGCTTCACTATAAAGTTCACTATCTTGATCTACTCTGAATATACCAGGACAGACACTTGAGATAGGTCTTTTTATTATCCTCATATGAAACTCTTCCAAACACAATGAATAAACCACTGCCTTTAAAATACTGCTAATGCCATTTTCCTCTGCTATCAAATTCTATGTCTGTTTGCAGTTACCTGAAAACCTGAAATCCCAAGCAATATGACTTCAAGAGAATTGCCTATCACTGTGTTTATGCTGCTGACGAAAGAATCAACACCAACGATGTTTAAAAAAGTGTTTAGGAGCATTAGATACAAGTATTAACACGTTTGTATTGATCATCTATGATGCTACTGCTATAAGCCTGACCTCAATTTGAAATGCTAAATATGCAATACTGCAAAGACTTTTTTCCTTGTCATTATTTATGTCATTATTCTGTTTAATGCTGTTTCCTACTCATATTAGCAAAGCAACTGAAAAGAACTGGGCTGCGTTACAAACAAATATTACCACATACCACTTCATTAAAAACCTGGATGTGTGCTATTATAGTTGGAGTAACCAGTTAATATGTATGAACTGCTAAGACCGGAAAACACTTATTTCTCCAACCTTGTTTTCAGAGACAACTGTCTGAAATCTACACCTTCAAAACTAAAAATTTCTCTATTCACTGTCTTTCATATTGGAAAACTCAAGATAAAATCCCTCCTAGGTTTTTATTTTCACAATTTAAGTTTTGAAGGGGCCAGAACTCTAACACCCATACATTAAAAAATACGGTATTTTGAAAATCTTCATGACTCTCAAGGTCATAAAGTCCTTCTAAGCATTTATATTCAGCTTTGTGTAATATTAGAAGCTGTGTGTCAGCAGTGAATCCATGTATCCTTATCACCTATAGATTTTTGGTAGACAAGGGGAAACTTCTTTTATTACAGATACTTGTGTCCTGTTCTTTGACCACTTGCAGCTCAGTAAACTTTGTTCTGTCCTCGGTTTTTCATACGCTTGACTCATTCAGGTCTCCTTCTTTCTCCCTGTCTCTCAGGCCTTTCCACAGTACCTTGAATTCCCTTCTGCATTTCCTGTTCAGTACCCCCAAGACACTATGACATTTGCTGCTAGGTGGGCAGAGCATCCCCATGGTATGAATGGCTTTTGCTAGACAACCTGCTCTCTGGTTGGTATCTGCAGATTGCAGCAAACAATTACTAAAGCTGAGATTTCTCCCTCTTTCCCTCAGCAAATTCACAAACAGAATATTTGTCCTCTAAGTGACAATCCCCTCTGGAACTTGGAGAACTTAACCTTTCTAAACAAACAAACAAACAAAAATCTTGGAAAAATTGTAAAACACAAATTTTTTGAGGAGAAAAAACTCCCCATATATAATTTTTAAAAAATTATTTTAACATGGAAATAACAGAAAATGATAAAAAGGCGAAAGAAGCTTAAGGAATGGGGCAGACTTAATGAGGACAGAAAACCAGGGGAAAAGGAGGATAATAACGTGTACACTTTTTATTTGTGCGCTGTTCCTGTCTTTTCAGAAAGCATGCTTTTAAGAGTACTTTTTTAAAAATACGCACGCAATTTTGATTCGTTCTTAACTAGGTTTTGTATAAACCAAAGGAGATTTGAAACCAAAAACCTAGAACTGAACTGCGTGCTTCGTTACTCTCATTCAACTCATTCCCATCACTGCCTCTTCTAAGAAAAAAGGTCACAGAGTGGCCTTTTCACAGTACGGGTGAAGTGGATAGACAGATAACTCATTCTATTTTCTGTGGCATGTAAGTAAGTAACTGAGGAACTACATACTGATCAGACACGAAAATTATGTAGAAATGTCATCATCAAGTCACCAGATTTCTAAATCATCAGCCTCACTTTGCTTGTGAAAAGGGTAGTGATGTCTATGAGAATCCATAGGGGCAACATTCATAAATTGGCTTCTGCTGATTTCTGTAAGGTACAAGACCTGATATCCCAGTGATTTGCAAATTACATCCCTGAGGGGACCCGCAAGTTTCTTTTCCTTCACAAATACAACGATAAGAAAACAACTTACGTTCAACTTGATCAAACATTACTGAGAACAAGAAATCTCTCGGTGTCATGTAATATTCTCCTTCATATTCCAGTGATGCAAAATGCATGAAGCGGTGCTTTCGAAGAGACAGTCTTTCATCCATTTCTGCATGAATGACATCCTCCTTCTGAAAAAGAAAAAAAAAAATCCATGCAGAAAGATTGTTGCATTTGTAGACCAACGCTGTGAATAGAAAGAATACTATACCAAATCTTGATTAAAGTCAATATTTTGTGGGCAGCCACAAAAAAGCCTCCCAGGAATTAAAGTTTTTATGACACACTCTTAATGAATGGTATGCTTATATGACATACAAGGTATTTTTTGGTTTCACTGAGAGCATGCTTTAACAACACAGCTGAGCCAAATTAATGGCTTGCTGTCACCAAAGGCTCCCCCTGCTTCCCAATCCCCTGCTCTTGGCTGTATGGTCCTGTTCTTCCTTGTTTGCCAGCTCTGCTACTTGGACTCTTGCTGAGACAAACTCAGCTCACTAACTCAGCTAAAAAACTAAACCCACAAAATAGCAAATAGTATTTTTCCAGGTTAGTGACTGGCTCAGCAAAGGCTGAAATGTGCTCTGTTCCCGTGCAAATGACCCACTCCTGAAGTTAATTATCAAGTTGTGGAGCAACTCCTAAAACAGGAGAATAATAATGTTCTAATTTAAATATGGACCTGTCTTTGAGAGAAGTCAGAAAAATGGGAAAAGCAACGAAAACACCAACAAAAGAGCCAAAGATCGTATCACCAGACCCAAAGATTCAACTTGTCAAGCAAACAGAAACCTTCCAACTCCACCCTTAAATATGGAGAGACTCAGGATCAAAATCATTCAAGTTGACAGCTCCACAAGTAGTAACAACACTTGCTGGCAGCAAGAGAGGACACAGACACAGTGAAACAGATGTTTACATTTTAGTATTTCAGAGATAGTAACTAACAACAGGATATAGGAAAACGAGAAACTCTAAAATTCAGAACACACACTGTGTGTATTTGAATATTAATCACGGAACAACAACTATCGAAATATATTATATTTCATTATACCTAAGTATAATTCTATGAAGGCTTCAACTTGCCATTTAATCCCATGCCTGCCACTCCTATGTTAGCATTAAGGACTTGCCAAAATACTTCACTGCATGATAGGATACAGGCACATTGTGATAGTCAATTTTAGTTTTCCCTTGTAGCATATTTATTTCCCACAAACCTTGGGTTTCAGTGAAGGGGGAGAGGGACCTAACAACAAGAAAAAAACCCAAATATTCACAGTTTATATTTAAAACTGTCATATTCTGATACACAAGGAAAATGAGGGCTACTTCTAAGTATCTGAAGCCAAGATTTCCTTTGGTTTAGATAGAACCATTTTGTACCACTATCATTGCCTTAAACTTCTTACGCAGTATGGAGCTTCATCATGGCCTAGAACACAAGCGCATTGCTGCTGTTCAGACCTGTGTGTTCTGGAAAATTCTGCTTAATAATAAGTCTAATGTAGCAGGAACTTTAGATTTATTCTTTTTAAAACTTCAGGGGACAAGTGACTCTGTAATTGCTTAGCTAACAAGACTTAACAAACGCTGCAAATATCAAATGAATAGTTCATAGCTGCTGGGTATTAGCATGAAGCATTCTTATTAAAATCGTCTCCTTCTCACAGTAACATAAGCAATTTTTGCCTGACGGCAAATTTAAAAAGAAAATGGAAAATTGCTTCACAGTTGTCCTTTAACTGAAGTTATGGAATGAAAAGCAATCTTTCTGCACAAATACAAAATAAAAAAGTTCAGACAAGAAGTAAAAAGCTAATCCTACAAAATCTTCAAACCAACTGGGTTTTCAAGTTTAAGTCTCACAGTAATTGTCTGAATACTGTCTAAAGCTAAACTAGTTACTGATATCAAAGCACTGAACTTCAGTAATCCACAATTTAAACTGAAATCGACAGGTACAAATTCATATATTAACTTCGAAGAGTTTCTTGTATTTGGAAAAGAATGTACTCCCATCGGAATTACAATACCATGCAACTACGGATTCATCAAACCCTTTCTTTTTGTGAAACTAGCATCCCTGATTTGCAAAACAGCCTTGGGTAACTTCCTATGAAAGTCAGCTTCAAATACTAGCACAAATAAGATAAGAAAACCTTACAGGATGAAATGCATCAGCTGGGCCATCTCCTACTCTGTTTTAAAAGCTCTTGCAAAATTCTCTGACATCCTGCTGCTGTGTGAGAAACTCAGCATCTGCAAAGAGCACTCTGACCCCTCTGGACATGAGGACAAGCTCAGCTAGAGCAGCTACAAGCTCTTTTAAAAGCTGTATCCCTCCCTCTCCTTCACTGTTGTTTTCTTCACTGATACATATGTCTCCAAGGCTTCAGCAAGCAGGGATGCCACATCCACCAAAAACAGTTGGTAAATGACAGAAATACATGGGAAGAAGAAGGGAGCTCTAAATTTTTGAAAAAAGATTAGAAGTAAAACTCCCATTTGTTCCGAGAAGAGATAAATGAGTGAATAACTATTCTAATCACTATTCCAAACACCTAAACAAAGATTAAATAAAAATTGCGTTTTGAAGAAAAGGCTGATTCAATCACATAAAATTAGGATTGATCTTCTTTTGAAGTACTAATCTGAAGTGTGTATAGAGGAGCAAGCTCTCTCAACAATTCAGTATCCTTCCCACTTCAGTTAAATCCTGACTAATTTCCAAGTACTTTTTCCTTAGTCATCCAAAGAGTCCTTCAAATAAAAATATTTGACATTCCTGACATTTCTAAAAACACTGTCAAAGCTCATTTTGCTCATAAAAATGCATGTATTAGGCAAAAAGCAGAGTTTTCCTCTCTAATTGTATTCCACAAAATGAGTTTCAAGTAAAGACAAGTATACTGTAGGAAACAATTATGTATTTAGGGCTGAACTTCACATATTAAGGTATCTGTAATCTAATGTCTCAGCAGTTTCCAACAGTGGAAATTCAAAGCAAGCTGGATACAAAAATTCAAATTTCAGAGAGGCAATGGGTAAGAAGAATCTATTACCATTGCTCCCACAAGATTCTTGTAAGCATAATTTAAAATAACCCTGAGATTGACTTGGGCTTATTTCTGTCTTTAACAGTGTCATATAAGAAGAAATCAAACCACAAAGGGTTGTGTGGCATTAACGGTAAGGCTTGGGCTGAAATTCCATTCTTAACTTGTTCTACTGTGTGTGGGTCCAACTGGGGCTCCAAACGCTGGCTGTTCCCACATGTTCCACAGCATCTCTACAGCCATGTGAACAGAGAATGACGTTTTGGCTTTAACCTGGAATTTAGTTGCCTTTGTGGTTTTATGTGAAGCCTCCAATGCTAATTTCAGAATGTCCACGGTAAAGCTATGAAAGTTGATGGTAAATTAGAATTGAATTACAAAAAAAGGGCTCCAGAAAAATCCAAGTGTTTTGCTCTGCAGTCGACATGGCATGGAATCAGTGGCTGACCAGACACTGGCATCTACTAGCATTACCAAAGACTGTGGTTTCCTTCTTGGCTTCCTGCACCAAGAAGTGCCTAAGGGCAACAGCATTACTTCACAGAATTAATTTTCTGGTTGATATTATTATCAGTCTCTTAATTTAAGATGCTGTTAAAGAATTCATGCTATTCAATCTTCGGCTTTGATTTTTTTGGCATGAAAAATAGCAAGCTTAAGTTAAATAAAACTCTTACGTTTATTGTATCTTTGAACTTCTTTAAAAAATACATTAAATAATAATGAAGAGTGACATAAATAAAACCTCAGTAACCCTTACCTGTCGTTTTAGTAACACTGCTGATCAATGTCATAGCTGATTTTTGGTAACACTAATTCTTTAGCCATTAAAAATCTGATGCCTTGTGTACAAACTCAAATATTTACTGCTGATTATTAGTCTGAAATGACTTAAAATAGCATATACACTTATCTCTCCCTTTAATTTCAAATGTTGTCTTCCCCTTTCATTCATTTTACTTTTTCTCCTTCTGCATAGAGTTTGGTGTTTTGATGTGCCTGTGGCTGTCATGTTTTCCATCTTATTTTTTTCTGCTTTTTTCCAGTTAATTTTTTCCAGTATAATTTTTCTTTCTTCACTCTACTCCTTTTCACATAATCTACTTATTTTGCCTCTTTGTATCCTTTCTTCCATCATCTATACACCTTCTTTCACTTTCCCTTTCCCTTGGGAAAAATTTAAAATTAAGGTATTTAAAATTTTTTTTTCCCTTGTCTGAAAAGAGGATCAATGATTTTTTTTCTTCCTTTCTTTAATCTGGAAGAATTAACTTGTACCACTCATTTTACCTACTACAAGAACAACTAAACCAATGTGTGGGATGTAATTAAAATCCAGTTGGTGCCAGCAGGCTCCCTGGGAGCCTTAGGATTGGATCCATTAATTCACACTAGATCTACAGAAGAATTTGGAAACTCTATATCAAATTTCTGTAAGACCGATGAAAACTTTACAGTTAACTAGTGTCATTACTGTATCTCAATTTCAACTCAAACCAATTCAAAATGATCAAAATAACAGAAAATGCAACCTGATCTCAAACCCCGCTGCACATGTTAACGTGCCCAGCACGCTGAATGCACAGAGGATAACGCTCAGAGCTCAAGGTCTGAAAGTTTTGTATGATGCAAGAATTGAGAGATGAAAAAGACTTTTGACAAGAAATCCATTTGACAGAAATATGTGACTTACAGAAAGCTAACATTTAAGAAAGCTTGTATAAGTATGTGCAAAAGTGGTTTGTGCTTTCACAATAAAAAAGCGAGCCTTGTATTATGCCCAGTCTTGATCAAATGCGCCGGACAAAACCAACATCACATTACAGACATAAAATCAGAACCAAAATGTTCTCATGAAGTGAATTGATCTGTATTATAATTTTTCAATGTTGTATTTTCTGACCTTGCAGACCAAACTGCTAGCCTGGAAAAAAAGCACTGAACTTACACAAAGCACTTATTTCTTTGGAAGTTAAGTTCTAAGTATCTGAATGACTGTTTAGACTGTTTATTTAACTAAATAAACAACAACATCACTAAAAGTTCTAACAGTCTTGAAATGCCTAAAT